AATTTTGTTATATATATATATATATATATATATATTGAGCTTATCAAAAATCATATAAATATTATTTTCTAATATCTATATGAATAATCCCATAATTCCAAATTCCACTAGAAAGCTCATCCAAACTTATGTTCTTCCTCTGCGTCTTTTTCATGACTAGCTCCTTTTTACATCAAACTATATGCTCTTTTAAAACATTTTTTTTAACACATAAATTATCAAAATAGCATTTTGTTCTAATCTTTGTAGGGGCGTCAAATACCATGAACCAGAATACTGGAAATTTGGCGAAGATGGCAACAAATATTTCAGGCATGCAACAGGACAATTATACGCTATTTCCAAGGATCTGGCAACTTACATATCAGCCAATCGGTGAGTTTGACTTACTATAATAATTTTGACTCTGATGCGTTGACCATCTCATATTACGTTGACTTGTAATCCTGCAGGCATATACTGCATAGATATGCTAATGAAGATGTTTCTTTGGGTTCTTGGTTTATTGGTCTTGATGTTGAGCATATTGATGAGAGGAGTATGTGCTGTGGAACACCTCCAGGTAACCATTACAACGATCGAAGATTTACGTACATATCCATTAACGCCTAAGTTTTAATTTTTACATAAATACCGCCTTACGTGTGCATGAAATGGTGTATTTTACTTTTCTCAAGTTAAAAGGGTGATATTTTTTATCTGGTGGAAAATTTTGGATGATATAAATGTAAAAAAGCATAGCATAGATGTTAGATATACGTAGGAATTGGCTGGGGGTATGTATGTAAATGCTCCCCCGGGGCTTACCTCAGTAACAGTACATCTACCCAATTAATTTTTGATGTGATTTCTATTGCTTGGTTCCTGTTTTTACTCTGTTTACATATTTTCATAGAAGGATTATTTTGAAGATGAGGCTAATGTAATTTTGGACATGAATTAATGGAAGGACAGACTGTGAGTGGAAGGTCCAAGCTGGGAACGCCTGTGCTGCTTCATTCGATTGGAGCTGCAGTGGCATCTGCAAATCAGTGGAGAGAATGGAGGAGGTCCATCAGCTCTGTGGAGAGGATCAAGGAACAATATGGCATTTTTCCATTTGATATTTACCCTATTTTCTTTTCTACTTTTGTTTTTTTTTTTTTTTTGGTGCCAATATCTCTTTCTTTGTATTATATCCTGCTATATTAAGATTCGGGGATGGTGCAGCTTTGAAGTGTTCTGACATTTGTTTTTATGGAAATGGGGAAAAAAATGTGTTTTTGATACAAATCTAATTGCACCTGAAGCTTGATATTTACATTTATAACACTTGTGACATAAACTTGTGCATGAAAAAGGTATATTTTACATTTAATGTGATGGTGATCGTGGTGTTTTTGTTGTGATGTTAATGATTCGAGTGACGTGCAAGTAAATGTAAATATGAAGTTTTAGTTTTTAGATATGTAAAGGCCTGAATTATGGGGTATGACTGTAAATGCCTCAAGATGTTGATATTGCAGATACTCCCTCCTATTTTTACTGAATTGCACTAAATTAAATGAACCCAAATTCGATGTCTGAATGATTTTTTATGTAATTTCTGAATTAGTCAGGCCAGGGCCGACATGTCGTTCGTGGCTAACAGGTGAAGGACTAATGCAAATACATGAATGATCGTTAAAACTATGCATTGCATGTTTTCAATCGGCCCAACTTAAAACCTTTCAGTTTTGAGGTCTGTAGAAATAAATAGAGAAGCATAATTGAGCTACGCTAAATGTAAGGCTGTCAAAATGGCTCGTTTGTGAACGGCTCATGTT